ATTGTATAATAATTACAATTAGTATCTTGTAGAAAATAGCATACTTGATTTGATTTTAATATTCATTGACAGATACATTTACTGTAGTACAAGCTATCAATGCATTAGGATTTGGAAAATTTCAAGTCAAATTATCTCTATTTACGGGTCTCTGTTGGATGGTGGACAGTATGGAAATAACAATATTAAGTATTTTAAGTCCATCATTACATTGTGACTNATTGTATAATAATTACAATTAGTATCTTGTAGAAAATAGCATACTTGATTTGATTTTAATATTCATTGACAGATACATTTACTGTAGTACAAGCTATCAATGCATTAGGATTTGGAAAATTTCAAGTCAAATTATCTCTATTTACGGGTCTCTGTTGGATGGTGGACAGTATGGAAATAACAATATTAAGTATTTTAAGTCCATCATTACATTGTGACTGGGGCATTACTAGATATCAACAAGCTTTAACAACTACGGTAATATTCACTATTAAGTACAATATTTATATCTAATTATCTTGTAGAATATTTTTAATATGTATACATGCATTATAATGATGGTCTCTAGGTTGTTTTCCTAGGTATGATGTTAAGTTCTACATTTTGGAGTAACTTGAGTGATAGATATGGTAGCAAACAGTCTTTAACACTCTGTGCAATTTTGTTACTTTACTACGCTTTCTTCAGTGCTTTTGCACCAAATTTTCTATGGATTTTATTACTTAGAGGATTAGTTGGTTTTGCTATTGGTTGTGTACCACAATCGTAAGTATTTGGTAAGTTTTATATGCAGACACGATCTTTAATAACTGAATTTAATTGCATCAAACTATTATTGTTTTAGAGTAACATTGTATGCAGAGTTTCTGCCAGCCAAACAAAGAGCAAAATGTGTAATCTTATTAGATGTCAGTATACCAAAATAAATCTCAATAATTATTTATATTTTTTTTCATCATATAAAATACTAACTTCTTTAACAGTGCTTTTGGGCTCTTGGAGCCTGTTTCGAGGTAGCCATAGCATTAGTAATAATGCCATACTTTGGTTGGAGATGGCTTCTCATTTTATCTACAATACCACTTCTTGTATTTGCTATTATCACTCCTGTAAGTAATACAAATGAATAATACTATAAAAATTGTGTATGTTCTTCATTTTATTTTATAATAGTGGTTACCAGAATCTATGATATTTGATATGTCAACTGGAAGAATGGATAAAGCTGTTTCTACATTAGAACGAGTAGCAAGAGAAAATAAGAAACCTTTACCTCCGGGAAGATTAGTTATGGATCGTTTTTATCAAGTGCATCATGGTAAATTAAAAGATGTACTGAGCAAAGAAATGTGTAGGACATCTACCCTACTTTGGCTTGTATGGTAAATACTTAAATTCCTTTTTTTTTAATATACACAATGCGATTTCATATAATTTTGACTAGATATAAGGTAACGAAGATAAAACTTTTAGGATGAGTACAGCATTTTGTTATTATGGTGTGGTATTAATGACAACAGAACTATTCCATACATCATCTGAGCAGTGCAGCTTTTGGGAAAATAAAAAAGAAGATACATGTCAATTGGATTGCCGTTTAGAACGTAGTGATTACATTGATCTTCTTTGGACAACATTAGCTGAATTCCCAGGAATATTTTCTACTATTTTTGCGATAGAAAAAATCGGTAGAAGGAAAACAATGGCTTTTCAATTAGTAATGTTTGCAATGTTAATTTGTTTTTTGGGTAGGGCCTGCCTATTGAATAGAATCGCATTGACACTTGCAATTTTTCTTGCCAGAGGTTTAATTGCTGGTGTTTTTCAAGCAGCTTATGTATACACTCCAGAAGTATATCCAACCCATTTGCGTAGTGTTGGAGTAAGTACTTGCAGTGCCATGGCTAGAATTGGTGCGATGGTCACACCATACATAGCACAAGTATTTCTGCAGTGGTCTATTACTGGAGCAATGACAATATATGCTGTAACAGCATTATGTGCTGCTGCAGCTACACTTGCTTTACCTGTTGAAACTAAAAATCAATCATTACATGATTCAACGCAGGAAACAAGATAAACTCATTTAAAATTTTCTTTTTTGTTGGTATTACTGAAACATATTAACTAGATACAAAATATATTTTTGTTGATGTATTTTATATAGCAATCTTTGCATAATGAAAAGAGATTGTTTGTATTTATTGATATATGTTTATTTCAGTTTTTTGCAATTGTTTAAATACATGTATGTATGATTAATAACTGTATATAATTTTTCCTTGTAGATCAACCGGATAAACTATGTATGTATATTACATTTAAAAA